CATGAATGATGTATTCCAAAATATAAATGTGTCAAATGAGTAACATTACATTTTTGAGTGCCCCAAAGTAGATTCTGCTATTACACATTTCTGAATTCTTTTCTATAGTATGTTGTTGTTTGTTCGCTAAGTTGTGTCTGACTCTTTTGTGACCCCATGGATTATAGTCTGCTAGTCTCTTCTGTCCATGGGATTTCCCAGGCAAGAATACAGGAGCAGGTTGCCACAGGATCTTCCCAACCCAGGGACTGAACTTGCATCTCCTGTATCGGCAGGTGGATTCTTTACCACTGAGCTAACATGTATATACCAAAAGTAAAATTATATTCATTTGATAACTTAAGCTTGGAGTTTGAATATTTATTATGACTTCAGCTTTTTTCTCTAATATGTGAGATTATTACATGAACCCAAATGCCGTCAAGTATCATTTTGTGAATTTGCATGTGTGTGTTTGTGTATGTGTGTGTGTGTGTGTATGCATTTGTACTTTCTTTTACTTGTAGGCTTTTTAGAATTATATGTTAATATGGTGTAAATGAAGCTATAAAGAAGGCCTTTTTAAAGGCTTTAGCCCTTTATGTGTTCTTTTATCTCTTTACATGATATTAGCAGCATTGGAAGTCATTAGCTAAATATATTAATTCATTAAGGATAGAAAATGTTGTAGCCTAATTTGGTCATTCCTTCTTCATTTATTAACTCAAATATTTCAATAAGAGGAATGTTCCTTCATTATTTCTTTATTTAGAAATAGTTCATATATTAAAAACAAAATAAGTATTTTATTCTTTTTAGTTTTTTTTAACAATTTTTAAAATAATACCTTCCTAGTGTGCTGTAAAATACATTAGTAGGTATGTTTTATCATTATGAATGCATGGATTTAAGCATATTTGAAGTGTTTCAATACCTTATAGTCATTAATCTTGTGTATGTTCAAATGATCTATTTTTAGTCAGTGGAAGTTTATGCAAATTGATTCTTGAGTCCTTTTTACATGCCCCTAGTAAACACTGATATATTCCTTGATTTGGTGTAAGGACTATAAAACACCACCCATGAAGTAATTTTACAAAACATAAAAAATAAATTAAATGGAACCTTGATCTGGTCAAGCCACTTAATATATCTACCAATTTAAAGAAAACAGAGAATGGGGAATTATGTTCAGTGATTTCTCACAAAAAGGAAAATCTAGAATGTGTGGTAAAACTACTTTTGTGGGTCAAATTTTTTTCTAGTAAATTTTATTTCATGTAGTGAAAAAGATAACTGGCTAGTTAAAACAATGAGATACTATTGTACATCTGTTAGAATGCCTTAAAAAAAGAAAACTGAACAGTACATCCTCCGGTGAATATGTAGAACAATTGGAAAATCATATATTCTACTAAAGGGAATGTAAAACTACACAGTCATTTTGGAATCCAGTTTGACAGTTTCTTAAAAAATAAACATCCTTTATGTAATTGCTATTTACTATGGAGAAATTAAAACTTTGGTTTCTATAAAAATCTGTACATGAAAATTCATCAGCTAGGGAATTCCATTCTATATAATACTTTTCAGCAATAAAAAGGATCTGAGTATTCAGTTGTATATATTGATACACACAGCAACATAAATGAATCTCAAATGTGTTATGCTAAGTGAAAGAAAACAGGCTCAGAAAACATCATACTGTATGATTTCAGTCATTCAACATTATGGGAAAGTTAAAATCGAAGGACAAGTCAGATTAATGGTTTCTGGGGATTATTGAGGGGACTGGATTTACCATAAAGGATCACAGGGGAAATTTTGGTGGTGATGGAAATATTCTATAGCTTGATTGTAGTGATAGTTATGTGATATCAGAGTTAGTCACAATTCCTAGAAATGCTCATTTAAATAGGCTGAATTTTATTGTAAGTAAATCATACCTCAAAAAATCTAACTTAAAGAAAAAAGTGAGGACCTATAAAATTTAAAAAAAAATGAAGAGAACAAGACCTCATTGTAATGTATGGACTTATTTAGATGTTGATTTTCTGTTAAAATAAGTTGGGACCATAGAAATATTGAACACTGACTGGATATTTGATTATATTAATTAATATATACCATTTATAGTAATGATTGAGATATTATAGTTATATTAAGAGGAATCTTTATCTTAGATATACATACTGACATTTTTACAGATGAAATTAGATGATTACTAGAATTTGCTTCAAAGAAATCTTGCAGTAAGAGTAGGTATGCAAGTATAGATGAAATAAGATTGGCTATAAGTTTGTAACAGTTGAGGCAGGGTAATTAATACAATGAGGGTTCATTGTACTGTTTTCTCCACATTTTAAAGTATTTAACAATTTTGCATAATTAAAATTAATTAAATCATTGCAGCTCAGTTTTATAAATATATGCTTAGTGAATATATTAGAAGAATATTCTGCAATGAGCATGTAGAGTTTATCCCAGAACTTTAAGCAGGGTTTCATACTAAAAATCAATAAAGTATATCACAGTCATTCAAAAAAAAAAAAAAGTCACAGAATCCTTACCATAAACAGCAAACAACAGATGCCAAATAACACATTTCTAATGGCACTTTTTTAAACTACCAAAAACCCTCCACTTTCTTAGCTAGATCAAATAAAACTTGAGATGAGATACCAAAGCATTGTTTCTTACAGTTTGGTCCATGACCTTACTGGGGATTTGGAGGTAGAAGTTAAAAATACGGGTCGTATGTGAGGCTGAAACTCCCAATACTTTGGCCACCTGATGCAAAGAACTGATTCATTGGAAAAGATCCTGATGCTGGGAAAGACTGAAGGCAGGAGGAGAAGGGGACAACAGAGGATGAGATGGTTGGATGGTATTACTGACTCAATGGACATGAGTTTGAGCATGCTCCAGGCATTGGTGATGAACAGGGAAGCCTGGCATGCTGCAGTCCATGGGGCCGCAAAAAGTCGGACACAACTGAGTGACTGAACTGAACACATTAACTTGGTGAAAACACTACCAAAATACTCCCCAGTTGATCTCCATTTATCTTTCTAGCCTCATTTCCGTTCTCTTAATTCCCCTAAATATTTTCCTCTCCTACTTCCCACTCCAGCAACTGAGAACTAATTTAGTTATAGCTCAGTGACTTTATAGAAGGTATTTTAAAATAAATTTGTTTCTCAGCACATATGATTAAAGACCCCTTCATCCTAGCTCAGACCAAATTGCATTTCCTTTATGAAATCATCTCAGACCTCCATGCCAGCCTTTTTGTTGTTGTTGTTCAGCTGCTAAGTCATGTCTGACTCTGAAACCCCATGGACTGCAGCATGCCTGGCTTCCCTGTCCTTCACTATCTCCCAGAGTTTGCTCAAACTCATACCTATTGTGTTGATGATGCCACCCAATCATCTCATCCTCTGTTGTCCCCTTCTCCTCCCGCCCTCACTCTTTCCCAGCATCAGTGTCTTTTCCAGTGAATCAATTCTTTGCATCAAGTGGCCAAAGTATTGGAGCTTCAGCTTTAGCACCAGTCCTTTCAATGAATATTCAGAGTTGACTTCCTTTAGGATTGATTGGTTTGATCTCCATGCAGTCCAAGCGACTCTCAAGGGTCTTCTCCAGCACCACAGTTTGAAAGCATCAATTCTTGGGTGCTCAGCCTTCTTTATGGTCCAATTCTCATGTCCATTCTGCCTTAGCCTAATTTAATTGTTAAGCTATTGTGTAGTCTACAATTTTAGAATTTAAGAGAGTATGTCCTGATTATTTGTTTGTATGTCTTCCCAACCAGATTATGAGTTACTTTTGGTCAGGGAATAATGTGTGTGTTTTTTGCTTTGACTTTTACTTCCTTCAGCAGTAAGTGTACTAGTGCATACAGTCATAATGTAATCCATGCTTTAAAGATATGAGTTTATTCAAAATGTGTTGCCAGTAATATACAAGGTCATTTAATAACACAGAAAGAAAATATACAGACCTGCTTTAAAATTTTTCTTTCTTTAATATGGTAAAAAAAATGACTATTTTTATAAATGAGAGGGAAAACATTTCACTGTTGGTCTGCAAAGTGGCCCCATACTCACACGGGGCAAGGACAGAGCAAAGGAAGGAGCAGATCACTCCAGACTGGTAGGTGGCAGGTTTAATAAGTAGTCTTATATGTACAAGACTTGTCAAATAAGTAGGCTGCCAAATAAGTAGGCCTCTGCACTTGACCACCAGAGTCCTAGAGGTCACAACAGGGTTCAGTCATATGTACAATACAGATGGTTTCAGCAGCACCTTGCCCTCTCAAGGCTCTGCCCTTAGAACAGCTGCCGCTGTGGCAATGATAGGCAGAGTGTACATTCTAAGGACAGGCAAGGAGCTCAAGAGCCTCCAATCCATCAGTCACGTCCTGCTTATGGGTCATCTGGTGGTTGTATTCTCTTGCTTACCTCTTCCAACATTTATCATTTTTACTAAAAATATGTTATTCCATTTCTAAATGGAACTAAAAAAATGTTTTCCATTTCATTTAGTGTTGTTAAACACACATTTCTTATTTTAGAATACTGGAGTGGGTAGCCTTTCCCTTCTCTAGGGGATCTTCCCAACCCAGGGGTCAAACCCGGGTCTCCCGCATTGCTGGTGGATTCTTTACCAGCTGAGCCACAAGGTAAATATAAAATGAATGTGTAAATATAAAATAAATATAAAATTAATGTACATTAATTTTAGTATTCTGGCCTGGAGAATTCCATGGATTGTAGAGTCCCTGGAGTCGCAAAGAGTCAGACACAACTGAATGACTTTCACTTTCACTTTCAATATTATTATTATATATTAAGCTTTAGTATTTCTAAATAATTTTACATAAGTCATGCAACTTATTAAAGCTAATTCAAAGAATAATAGTAAAGGTAGTTGACATTAGTGGTTTAAATAACTAGTTTCTATTTACATCAATTAAGAAGTTCATGCAAGTTTTTTTTTTGTTGTTTATTTGATTTCAGTTGTGTTGCTTGATACAACAACTGTGCTGGGAGAGCTAGGATGGAAAACATATCCATTAAATGGGGTAAGTTTAAATATCTTTCAAAATTGTTATTCTGTTGGGTTTTTAGGCTGTATTATAATAGTTAAAAGAACAGAGTATTGTTCAGTGTTTTTTTTTTTTTTTTTTTAATTTATTTATTTATTTATTTATTTTTTTTTATCACAACCATAGTGTATCTTTTTTTTTTTTTTTTTTTACATGTATTCCCCATCCCGGTCCCCCCTCCCACCTCCCTCTCCACCCAATCCCTCTGGGTCTTCCCAGTGCACCAGGCCCGAGCGAATTTTAGCATGAAACTTAAATCCTATGGAAAAGATTAAAATACAGTTAGAACTGGTAATCAGTGGAATGATATATGAAAATGCTTTCTTCTAAATTAGTAATTTTTCTTTAATATATTGTTTATATATAGTAGTATTAGAATAGTGCCCATATAAATATTTTCTTTAAAAATAAATGTTTTCTGTGTATATGTTAAATTTGGTAACTTCATTGAATATTTGTATGTAAACAACTTTAGACTATCATAGCATAAGTCAATTTTACAGATACCATTTGGTGTTTATTAGAAAATATGAATCTTCTAAAGTAGTATGTATCTTTTGAACTTTTCAAAAAGATGCATTATAATTAGATTTTTGTTAGCAGAGTGTAGTTGCTTTTGAAAGGCTTATAAGGATGTATAATTTACTAAGTACAGTTTTTCGGGTATTGACATCATTTTAGCTATGGTTGTATTTGACTTTTTACATGTTTTGATATATTTTGCATCATTTTCACATTCAGTTTATTTCTACATTTTTTATTTCAAGCTAAAATAAAAGGACGATTTGTGATGCTTTTTATCTTGATTTTGTCTGTTTAAATAAATCTTCAACAATGGAGGCAGTCAGTTGCTTCTAGATATACTTGGGTTAGCTTTTCTTCCTTTTCTTAGAAATTATATTTTTCTCATTCATGACATTCTCCCTGATACTATTCTACATTGCTTTTTTCTGTTAGATTTACAAATTTAAATCTGAAAGGAGAAGTTGACCCAAAATTGTTTTGTTTTTAGAATCATTAGAATAATGCTATTTGAGTTTGACCTTTATGTCAGGAATTATTTAACAGTCACTCATTAAATTTTTATTTTCAAATAAAAATTCCTGTAAGAGTTTAATCTTTCTTTGTTTAACAGGTTTTTTGTTTCTTTAGATTTGTTTGTTTACAGCCTGTGGTTTTATTGTTTCTGAAGTTTTAATCTAATAGAGTTCTTGTCAAGCCATTTCTGAGAATGTGTCTTTTAAACTAAGATTATGCTTGTACCTTCATTATCTTATTTTCATTAAAATGAATATATATCAGTATTCATTGAATGTAGTTAGTATGTTATATTAATCAAAGTTACTTTGAAGTGAATAAAACTTATTTTCCAGAATATCTTTCCAAGATCTGTATCTTTTTCTCAGTAGATGAAGTAACTTATAAAGACTTACAAATGATTAAATAGTCTCTATAAGCCCCACTTTTTCATTTTCTGAAAAAAAAAATGGCAGGCAATGTTATCAGTCATACTATCACTGATTTTATGTAATCATAGCTGAAGAATCATATGAAGAAGAGCAGGAGTTGTGCCTCTGCTCTGGTGATTGTGTTTGGCTTGATCACAGGGCTGCATTTCTTAATGCAAACTGGTAACCAGGAGACATAGGAACTTACAGAGTTACAAATAAACTTACTACTATCATTCTTGTAATGATTTCATCATAGGTGTTATGAATTGGGAACTTTTCTATGTCTGGTTTATTACATAGAGAGAGGGCAGAGTTGTGTGAAAAATTATGTTTACTTCATAGTTTTCTATTTGCCAGACACTGCTCTGAGAATTTTATCCTTTTATTTTTCACAATGGCCTATGAGGTTTGTCTTAGTTCCATTTCCCTGTGGGAGAAACCCAGTATTAAGGAGAACAAGGAACAAAAGATACCAAGAATTTATAGGCTGGGTAGTGAGTGATGTACTTCAATACATGCTGCATTATTTCTGACTCTAGTGCCTGTATGCTTGTGATGACGCTGCAAACAGAGGAGGATTGGAAACTTTATGAAAAGCCAGTTACATATGTGTGCTATTTGCATAATTGATTCAGATTTTTTTCTCCCCTTGATAAACATACTGCTAAAGTGAAATGTGCATTTTGGGCACCAACTAAGAATGAGCAGGAGAAGAGAGAAAGAAGAAGGAAAGGAAACTACACTAGAAAATAAATATGATAGAATAAGGTAGCAAAGGAAAAGATGGTTAAAAATCCATTGAGCATTTACCACATGCTAGGCTTTGTTCAAAGCACTTTACTCACATGAGTCCTAGAAATCAAGTATAAATGTTCTCTATTGAAAGATGTGAACCTGAGGTATATTAAATAACTTCTACATGGTCACAGAGTGAGGAAGTAATTCAGCAAAATTTCTAAGCCAAACCTATTTTAATCTTCAATGTATCTGTGGTCATTTTATAGCTCAGTGCTTTTTATTTAAGATTCTGCCATGTAAAGATAAAGGGCATGTAAAGATAAAGGGAAAAGTAATACAAGGATTCAGACATTAAAAAGTAACCTGAATACTCAATTACTTTGGGATATCACTGATGGGATAGACTATATCACTTTTAGATTATCACCCAGATAATAATGCATATATGGACAATGTCAGCGGTAGGAATTCTTGAAAATTGGAGCATATGGAAATATTTTATAAGAGATATGGATGAAGCTTCATGTATTAGATAAAACGAAGGTGAATCAAGGGAAATAGTAAAATGGATAGACGACATTAGAAAATTTTAAAGAAAATACACAACATAAGTTTCTCTTTTAATGAAGAGAATAGGTTACTGACAAGAACAGAGCTTTCGGTTCAGTCGATCAGTCGTGTCCGACTCTTTGCGACCCCATTGGCTGCAGCATGCCAGGCTTCCCTTGTCCATCCCCAACTCCCGGAGCATGCTCAAACTCATATCCATGGTGTTGGTGATGCCATCCAACCATCTCATCCTCGGTTATCCCCTTGTCCTCCTGCCTTCAGTCTTTTCCAGCATCAGGGTCTTTTCCAATGAGTGGGTTCTTCACATCAGGTGGCCAAAGTATTGGAGTTTCAGCTTCAACATCAATCCTTCCAGTGACTATTCAGGACTGATTACCTTTAGGATTGACTCGTTTGATCTCCATGCAGTCCAAGGGACTCTCAAGAGTCTTCTCCAACACCACAGTTCAAAAGCATCAGTTCTTCAGCACTCAACTTTCTTTATAGTCCAAATCTCACATATATACATGACTACTGGAAAAACCATAGCTTTGACTAGATGGGTCTTTGTTGTCAAAGTAATATCTCTGCTTTTTAATATGCTGTCTAGATTGGTCATAACTTTTCCTCCAAGGAGCAAATGTCCTAATGTCATGGCTGCAGTCACCATCTGCAGTGATATTGGAGCCCCCCAAAATAAAGTTTCTGTTTCCATTGTTTCCCCATCCATTCGCCAGGAAGTGACGGGACCAGATGCCATGATCTTAGTTTTCAGAATGTTGAGTTTTAAGCCAACTTTTTCACTCTCCTTTTTCACTTTCATCAAGAGGCTCTTTAGTTCTTCACTTTCTGCCATTAGGATGTTGTCATCTGTGTATCTGAGGTTACTGATATTTCTCCTGGCAATCTTGATTCCAGCTTTTGTGTCATCCAGCTCGACATTCTGCATGAATAGAGCTTTACTCGGTGCTATTTATAGGTTAAAACAAGTAAGTAGATAAGCAGAAAGGATGGAAAAACTTTGAACCATGGTAATTTGAATGGCCATTTTAGCTAAAGTTGCCTTTTCTCAGAGATACTACTTCAGTTGGTTTTACAAATATGTAAAGAAAACTAGATGATGTATTTGACAGTCTTTTGATATAAAGCATATCTGGTGTTTTTCTGAATAAAGTGTTTTCTAGGAATAACTTTTAAATTGATAAGATTTTCTTCATTTAATGACATGAACTAAGAAATATTTTTAAAATCATATATTGTATGATTTACATTATAAATCATATAAAATATGTGGCTTAGTAAATTATCTCATACTGATTTTACTTTTTATTCTTTTTTTTTTTTACTTAAAATGCCCATTTTACCCATAGTAACATACTGACTAATGTAGTTACAGTAGTAGGCATTTATTTTGTGCCTGTAAAGAAAACCATTTCAGGCTATTTGAGTAAAATGTAAGCACCTTTGTTTAGCAAATATGAAAAATAGACGAGTAATCTCTAGCAAATGATTCTTTAGGCTTTCAAAAATGAATGAAAAGAAAATATATTTATTCTGAAATGCTTGTCAACTAATTTTTACTAATATTAAAAATATACTTTTTAAAAAATTCATGTCCTGAATTCAGTTTAACAAGTTGCTATTTTACGTTCTTGGTGTCAGGTACTCTTTTGAAGTTTAGAAATAATGTCTTCACAGTCTTAATGCCAATGAGAGTATCTTCAGGTAATTCTCAGTAATGTTTTGTGAAAGAATAATAAAGGGAGGAATGAATTCTGGTCAAGAAAAATTGGTTGTAGGATGTAACATATCAGCTCTTTCTTATACACTGAAGGAATCACAGGTGGGCTGAAGAGAGCGTAGAAGCACCTTTTAGGAAAAGAGAATGACCTGAAGACAGGCACACTATTCTTAAATGTATGCATTAGGTTTTAGGAATGTTCAGAATAATTTGTGTGTCTGAAGGGAAGAGATGTAGTGAATAGTTAGTGAAAGTTGCTCATTCGTGTCTGACTCTTTGCCACCCCATGGACTATACAGCCCATGGAATTCTCCAGGCCAGAATACTGGAATGGGTAGCCGTTCCCTTCTCTAGGGGATCTTCCCAACCCAGGTATCAAACCCAAGTCTCCTGCCATTGTAGGCAGATTCTTTACCTTCTGAGCCACAAGGGAAGCCCAAGAATACTGGAGTGGGTTGCCTATCCCTTATCCAGGTGATCTTCCAGACCCAGGAATC